GTTATCATATACTCAACTGTTAATGGTAGATACTTCTGGACAGCATTTCTACATTATTTTTAAAAATTATGAACATATATTACTTTCATAACTTAAAACTTGGAAAAAAAATAGTCCTAACTGCTATTTTCTTTATCAAACTTTGACTTCCTGTTGGTTACCAATGGCATATTCCAAGGACCTTCCCATGAACATTCAAGATCTATTACTAACTCTTTCCCCAAGCAGAATTAACAAACATGTTTTCATGCTGTGATAATAAGGAAAAAAGTTGAAAGACTCAATTCCTGGCCAGGCACGGTGGCTCACACCTGTAATCCCAGCGCTCTGGGAGGTGAGGCAGGTGGATTGCTTGAGCTCAGGAGTTCAAACCAGCCTGATCAAGAGCAAGACCCTGTCTCTACTAAAAATAGAAAAACTAGTCAGGCATTGTGGCAAGTGCCTGTAGTCCCAGTTACTAGGGAGGCTGAGGCAAGAGGATCACTTGAGCCTAGGAGTTTGTGGTTGCTGTGAACTGTGACGCCATTGTAATCTACTAAGGGTGACAAAGTGACAAAAAAAAAAGAAAGAAAGAAAAGAAAAAAAGAAAGACTCATTTCCTGAAAACTCTTGGAATACCTTAACAAAGAGACCACAATTGCTATATTTATATGAAATTTCAAAATAATAGCAATAAACATCTAAGCATAAACTTTATAAATAATTGTGCAAATCTCAAAGAAAAAGCATGAGTTTCTAATCTATTAGTGTATTCCATTATCTTGTTAGAACTGTAACGCAAATATCTACTATCTTACTATCTTATTTTTCTCTAGGAATCTAAGATAGAAAGATAATAAATCAAATTTTTCTCTAGGAAAAATAACAAGTTTGTTGTTGTTTGTATTGAGAAATAGGGGAAAGAATTTCAAGCAAAGCAGACTTCGTACTATCTTGAGCAAATTCTGACTCAATTTCTTGAGTGTATATTAGAATTCCTCAAGACAGAAAAAATATGTGTTATTGTGATAAAATTCTTGTTCCCAAATCAGAAAAAGGGGACTTGGGTACAAGCTTTCTTTCCTAGGATGTGGGAATGAAGGTTAGGTTCTAGTTTGCTGTGTTTGGTTTAGGACACGTTACTGGGCTTCACCCCCACCTGTTTCACTCAGTGGCTCTTTTTATATCTCCACTCAAGTGTGGACATGAACTTCCAGGAAGGAGGGATCTCACAATGCTCTCTCTTTCCCGTGGACCCCAAATAGCTCAGGCTAGGTCAAAGTACCTGGGGCCCCACTACATTTACAAAGGGTGAGAGGCTGCTCAGTAGTACTGGGTCCAAAAAACATAATTTTCTTTAGGTCTCTAATATGTACCTATTCATCAGGATTGGCAGGAAATTTAACCCGCCTTGTTTAGCCGATCCTATAAGGCAGTGATGATGGAGCAGGCAGGCTCTCCACCCTGTCTAGGATCATAAAAAATGTGGGGCATTATACACAATCCAGAAAACTTAGGGGAAGGACTCCAGCCTCAGGCCATTTGGTCACCTGATACATTTTGTCAATGCTCTCACAAGTCACCTGCAGGCAGCCACCTCCACTCCTTTCACATCAAGCCCAAGCAAGAGCATCTTATACTTCAAATCAAGACACTTGGTATTCAGTCCCTGAGATGCCCTGGGGAGTTTCTTCCTTCTCCTAGAGAGCTGTGTGGGTGGGTCTGAGAGCCCAGGACCACCTTCACCATGAGGTGACAACAGGGCCCACCCTCACCTCAGTCTCCACCGGCTACTTCCCCCTTGCCTCCAGTGCTTCTGGAGCACAAAATATCTTACTTCCTTGAGGGCAAATGGCAGGGACAGGCTCTGATTTGGTCCTCAATGTCTGGGGCTTTTCACAGAAAGGAACTCCTGTTCCCGTGTACTTTGTTAAATGGTAATTCATGCTACTAAGTAGCTAAACATGAGTTATTATGAGACACTAAATTAAAACAAATTAAATTTAAACATTATCTGTTTACTTAAATGTTGAAATTTATATAATTAAAGTTTCATAATTATTAAAATTACAAGTCTATAGTCCTAAATATTAAAGACACCTCTATCAAGTTAAAAAATACAAAATTATATTGATTACAAAACATTACTTTTATACTTCAAGCAGTTAAAAAAGTATTAATATCATGGATTTAAATTTGTGATTTTCATTACTTCTCTGCTATTCTTATTATTTCTCATTCCTCTCAGCGGTTTCCTTGTAAGGATTAGAAAATTATTGATTGCCTTTAGGGTTATAGTATATATAGGGTTATAGAAAAAGTAAAGAAAAAAATCAGTGCAGAATAGCCAAGATTGCACATTCTAGAATGTCAGCATATTGGAGCTGATTGTACCTTCCAAATCTTAGCTGCTGACCTCCAGGCTATATTCCTTCTTCTGCTCATTTTTGGTTTTTGTTACTGTGGCACAGACTCTGATGTGTAGCTTAGGATAATGTGGAAGTTAGAACTTTGAGAAGATTGAGGCAGAATCAATAAGAACAGCAGGAGATAAATTTTCAAATGGTATGGAGCTAGAGAATGCTAGCTTTATTTTATGGCTTTATTTTTTAAGTGATGAAAGAAAAAAAGAAGCAAGCACTGGTGGCAAGGAGAATATTGGGAGGACTTCATAATAGTCTAGGAGTTGTGATTCTGTAGCCATGAACAAGAGTGGTGGCAATAAAGTAGCAGTGAATGATTAAAGACGGTACTGACGACTGATTAGAGGTCAGAGAATGATATAAAGTTTGGTTGAAAAGCAACTTTCTCTAACTGGTGATGTGCTATGGGGAGCTAATTTTGTAGCAAGACATAATACTGTATTACAGCAGAGACTGCCTTGTTCAGAGCCAGTGAAGGGGAAGGAGACCCTCTTGGCCAGTGCTATCTTACATCCCCAGTGCGATTGCTATCAAATTGGTTTTTCTTCAGATTATGCAATAATTTTAGGTGTTTTAAGAACAGTGCTACTCAAAGTGTGCTTAGAACCACTAGGCAATGTGTTATCAGTACACAATAATGTAAGTAAGAAGTTGATGGTAAGTATTTAGAAACTTTAGTAGGAATTTAACATTGGTGTGACATCCAAGTGCTGGATCAGAGTAATTCAACAAAAATATCTGTTTGAAAGGATTTTTGAAACTCTGGTCCTGGTTTATTCCAGCACTATTCACAAAAGCAAAGATATGGAATCAAGTTAAGTGTCCATTAACAGATGAAAGCACCAAAAAAAGTAGTGTATTATGTAATAGAATTATTACTATTAGGCCGTACAAAAGAATGAAATCATGTGATTTCATTCTTTCAGCAGTGTGGATGGAACTTGAGGTCATTATGTTAAGTGCAATCAGCCAGACACAGAAATACAAACATTGCATGTGCTGGCCCAGGTGTGGGGCTACAGAAGGTGACACTCTGGAGGGGAGAGCAGACTGACAGATGCCAGAGGCTGGGCAGGGTGTGGGAGGTTGGAGGGAGGGAATGAAGAGAGGTCACTGAAGGAGCACAGACATTCAGTCAGACAGACATTACAGGTCAGAATGTTTGACACTAGAGTAGGGTGACTGCAGTTAACAAAGTGTTGGACATTTCAAAATAGCTGGAACAGAGGATTTAAAGTGTTCTCAACAGATGGGAATGATAAACACTCAGGTGATGGATATCCTAAATACCCTCTTGTAACCATTACACATTCTAATGCACCTGTGTGTAGCCCATAAACATGCATGAATAACATGCATCAGAATAAACACCCTGGTTTCACTCAGTTTGAGAAGGTCTATTTTAAAATACAATGGAAGGGGCTCGGCGCCTGTGGCTCAAGCGGCTAAGGCGCCAGCCACATACACCTAAGGTGGCGGGTTCGAATCCCCAGCCCG